GAGTCCTTCCCCTGGCCCAGGAGGCCTGGCTCTTCTCAGAGGCTCACTTGCTCTTCCGCCTTCCCCTCTAGCCTCCCTCACCTCCTCACTGGTCCTCCGAAACACCTACCTGGTTGGCCCCAGGACATGCACACTTGCAGAGCCCCCAAACCCACCCTCTGCCCCCAACCCCACAAGGTTGGCTTATTCTCCCCACCCAGGTCTCTGCCCAAATGCTGACACCTCAGAAAGGCCCCTCCTGTCCTGCATCCAAAAGAGGCCCCTCAATTAGCCAGGTATAATGGTGCACGCCTGTAATCCCAGCTAGTTGGGGGGCTGAGGCAAGTGAATCGCTTGAACCCAGGAGGCGGAGGGAGCAGTGAGCCGAAATTGCACCATTGCACTCCAGCCTGGGCAATAACCGTGCGAGACACCATCTCAAAAAACAAACAAACAAACAGACGAAAAAGCCTGATAGGTGATGTTCTGCTGGAATGAGACCCTCATCTGAGCCACAGCGGGTACCTGGAACATGACTGACAGAGTGAAGGCCTTCTACAGAGCAGGCTGGGGACAAAACCAAGAGCTTACTCCTTTCCTCCAATGCCCCCAGGCCCTCCAGGAAAACTCTGAGTACAGATGACTCCTTGGGCTCTTGGAAAACTAGAAGAAAAAATCAGGCCCAGGTGTTTAAGGTAAGATGCTCTTGGCAGCCCTAGGTTCTGGGGGCACCCCCCAGCCTGGACCTGGGTAGCCCTTGCCAAGTCCTCTGAGGACCCCTTCCTTTCTTCCCTCCCATTCTCCATGGGGCATGGTAGCTCAAGCATTTTGGGGGCAGGGCTCATCTCCCTCTATCCAGGATCCCTTCCTCTGCTTGAGGCTCTGGTTCCACCTTCAAGGAAACCAAAATGCGGTGGACTTGGACTCCAGCTTGGCCCTGGACAGCTGTGTGTTGTTGGGGAGGCCACCTAAGCTCTCTGAAGTTGCTTCCTCATTTGAAAAACGACACACACCTTTCCGGGTAGTTGGGAGGATTCACTGACACAATGCAAAAAGTCCAGGAGTTAATAAATGTCCAGTGTGTGTAGGTTACATGTGAATCAAAATCCCCCGTTTTTCCTCCCAGCATGAGCCTCTTTACTGAACAAAGGGAACTGAATATCTGGTCCAATGTCTGATACAGGAGGAGATGAGAGCAGGACCTTTGGGGAAGGTACTTCCCGAGACTGTCTCCAGAGAACTGTCCAGCACCACGAAAGATAAGGTTTGCCCCTCAGGGTAAGCCCAGAATACACAAGCGTATTAAAAAAGTGAAACACACTCATGGGTGACAGATTCATAATGGGATTATTGATTCAAACACAGATCCTTTCTCTTCCCTGCATTTTCCAACCCCTCCCAAAAAACTGTTGCTGATGGCTGGGAAGTGACTCAGGGAGGCAACCAGCAAGGGAGAACGGTTTGGCTGCAGCTGGTGCTAAAAATGACCAGTAGCCGAGACAAAGGGTAGAGGCAGCATCCTCCCTCTTCCCTCATCACCCTCTCTGAGCTTTAGTGTCTTACTTGTGACGAGGGGAACAGAACTCCTGGCCTCTCACAGAAGTCGAGTGGATTAGATGTGATAAGGGGCCTACCACCCATTCACAATGGCAGTAAGAGGCATGATGAATTGAGTCCCCAGGGTCAGATATCATGCTAAGTGCTTTAAATATGTCACCTCCTCCCACAACTGGCCCAAATTCCAGGAAGGTGGGGACCGGGTCTTTGTTCCCTACGACACTGCCAGTCCCAAGTACAGTGTCCTGCTTCATGGTAATCATAATAGTAAACATCACAGGAGCCTTAATTTGTAACTTCTTTTATACGCAGTGTAGACTGATTCACCATGTACAGCACTTGATAGTTCTAATCTTCATGACAATTCTTTTTTTTTTTTTTTTTTTTTGAGACAGGATTTCACTCTGTCACCCAGGCTGGAGTGCACTGACACAACCTCAGCTCACTGCAACCTCTGCCTCCCAGGTTCAAGTGATTCTCCTGCCTCAGCCTCCTAAGTAGCTGGGATTACAAGTGCCTGCCACCACTCCCAGCTGATTTTTGTATTTTTAGGAGAGAGAGTTTCACAATGTTGACCAGGCTGGTCTCAAACTCCTGACCTCAAGTGATCTGCCTGCCTCAGCCTCCCAAAGTGCTGGGATTACAGGTGTCAGCCACTGTGCTCTAAGGGATGGGTTCTACTATTATCCCCATTTTATGGATGACAAAACTGAGGCACAGAGGGCACAAAGAGGTTAGATAACATTCCTAAAGTCACCAAGCAAGTGATAGAATGGGAGTCTGAACCCAGGGAGTCTGGATCTAGAGACTATGCCCTTGACCTCTGTGCTAACTCAGGGGGTCAAGGGATGCTCAAGACCCGGTTATCCGGCTGTTTTGTAGGTAAAGCAATCAATGTTAAGAGAGAAGAGAAATGATGAGCTTAGAGAAGACCCAGGCTTTGGACTCAGTGTCACCAACCTAAATGCCTCCGAAAGGGTTCACTTTACTCCCCACACCCCTGACCCAAGCTTCAGGGGCCTGCCTTTCCTTGTAGGGTCTCCCCTATAGTCCACAAATGTCTTTTTTTTTTTTTTTTTGAGATGGAGTCTCCCTCTGTCGCCCAGGCTGGAGTGCAATGGCACCATCTTGGCTCACTACAACCTCCGCCTCCTGGGTTCAAGCGATTCTCTCACTTGCGCCTCCTGAGTAGCTGGGATTACAGACACATGCCACCACAGCCAGCTAATTTTTGTATTTTTAGCAGAGACAGGTTTTCACCATGTTTGCTAGGCTGGTCTCGAACTCCCGACCTCAAGTGATCCTCCCACCTCTTCCTCCCAAAGTGCTGGGATTACAGGTGTGAGCCACTGTACCTGGCCCACCAATGTCTTAAGTCTGGATCCAGCTGTGGAGCAGTAACAATGACACTTCAAAAGCTCAGAGACAGCCCCGTAGCCAGGAGTCTGTCAAGGAGTCGGGCTCCCAGGGTGGAGCTGGCCACAGGTGGAGGCTGAGTCCTCCTTTCACCTTTCTCTCCCCCTGGGGATAACATTCAAAGTCTTTCCCCTGGCCCAGCCTCTAGCCCAGGTGCTGCTTCTCAGAGGGCCTGGGGTTGTCCCAGTCCCCAACCTCCTATGGCAGGATGGTGACAGTCTCTCTGGTATTGGGAACTGGCTGCTTCAGACATGGGGTTTGGTCAAGAGATTTTTCATCCTCATCTCCTGGCAAGAGCGGACTTCATCACTCACACACTTGTTTTCCATCACTCACGTTTGCCCATCGCTGGCATCTGGCTCATCGTGGATGTCTCATGATAAGTCAGGGACATGACAGATGCCATTAACATAACATCCTCATCCATCCTCCCAGGGTAGGCTGGCATGGAGAGTGGGCTGAGAGAGGGATGGAGTCAAAAGAGAACAGCTTCTGACATCAGACTCATGAGGTTGACTCAACTGACCTCTGATGCTACTAGCTGGGCAACCTCTTAGGCCACCTAAGTCTCTGTATCCATTAAATGGGGACAGAAATTCTTTTCTGGCAGGTGAGTCTACTGCTTTGCACGACTCCATAGGGCACCATTCACATTGCTGTCTACGTGAATGGTGTTACTTGGGACCCAACTTCATATAAGGTGAAGGATGCTTCGAGATTGTATATCACTGAGTCTGCACTTAGCAAATAAGAATTGCTATGTCAATTTTCAGATGTGGAACCAAGGTGCTAATGGAGTTGTAAGGACCAGAGATTACACCATGTAAAGGGCCTGGGACAATGTAGGTGCACAGTAGGCGTGGCCTTATTATGGGATATGGAAGCACCCCTCTCCCAGACACCTCTGGCATGTGAGATGCCCTATCTAATTTCAGCATTGTGTGGACCAAACCAATGGGGGTGGAGACCCTCCTCACAACAAACAGCCCTGCTAGCAAGGTCTAGCTTCCACCTCCCGTAGTGCCTCCTCTTACCTCTCAGGCTGGCCCCATGACAGCCACGAGGGTAACAGACACCTTGGCAGTAGGCTGGGCATGACTAGGGGGTTTCCCACCATTTGGGGGTTTGCACCTGACTGGTTAAGAAATCCTGGATGGAATCTTCCCAGCCTGGTTTTCCAACCTTTGCTGAAAGCAACGGACCTTGTCCTTATCTCCCCATAGGGCGCCCTCAATCCAAGGAACATTAAAAACTGACCATATGTTAGGCACAGCAGAGAGGGAAGCCTCAAGGTTGATAAGCTAGTTCCCAACCCCAAGAAGGTCACAGAAGAGTTAGCTGAGGTGGTGGAGTGCAGGGGAAAGAAGCTCACCTTTTAATTGCCTCTCACCCCCTCCCTCCTTCCTCTCCCTCCACATCAACAATCCTTTCCTCTTCATTCTGTTTGCTCAATGAACTCTGAAGTATAGCAGGCCCCTTGCCTTGTCTGCTTTACTGCGGAACCCCTGGCTACTAGCTCAGAGCAAGTAGCTCAATACATATTAGTCGAATCAATGGGTGGAAGAATCAAGTCCTCCCATGTAAGTTGGGCATGCTTCATGCTTACTCTGTCTAGGAAGAGGTTTGGATGTCCATGGTTGTTCTACAAAAGCAGTCATCACCGCTCCTCTTTCCCACCAGGGACCCCTATTTCTGATCTGTTTGTCATTCAGTCATTGGGCCAGTATGTATTGAGTAGTTCTTTTGAACTAGGCATTGTATCTTGTTCCGGGAAGGCAAGCCCTGAGCTTTCCCCACCCCTCGCATCGCCCTTTGCACATCTTGGCCCAGTCTTTTCCCTGCTTACCACCACACACCTAGCCTGGGGGACTTGCCTCTCCCTTATTCCACCTTTTACACTGAGGTGCCATATTTGGGCTGCTCTGATGCCTCCAACCTGCATAGGAGTTGAAGGAAGAAGGTCTCCCAGTCTCTAACCTCTGCCCTTAGCCCATCCTCCCACCTGACCTCAGGGACCTGTCCCTCCCAGGATCTGCCCAGAACCCTAAGCCACTCTGCTTCCCGGATCTGAACCTGAACCTGAACCTGGTTGTCTCACCTCGGCCCCTGGGGTCCCTGCCCATGGGCGTCGTGCAGAGCCTATCCGATGCTCGACCCAGCACCTTGGCCCCTCGACACTGCCTGCGGCGGGAGCTGCCAGCTTTTTGGAATTCCTAATCGCTCCTGGCCCCGGTGATTGGCTGCTCAGCTCTGACCCCACTTTGGCTGCCGCCTGGTTGGATAAAAGGGGAATCTCCTTGGGCTCCAGAGCATTAGACACCGGAGGGGGCACCTGGGACCAACTCCGCGAAGCAGGGAGCCCGGCGGGGGGGTGGGGTGAGCTAAAGACCTGCGGCCTCAGCCCCTCCAAAGAACCGGGAGATGACGGGGAAAGCAGGGGAAGCACTGAGCAAGCCCAAGTCCGAGACAGTGGCCAAGAGTACCTCGGGGGGCGCCCCGGCCAGGTGCACCGGGTTCGGCATCCAGGAGATTCTGGGCTTGAACAAGGAGCCTCCCAGCTCCCACCCGCGGGCTGCGCTCGACGGCCTGGCCCCCGGGCACTTGCTGGCGGCGCGCTCAGTGCTCAGCCCCGCGGGGGTGGGCGGCATGGGGCTTCTGGGGCCTGGGGGGCTCCCCGGCTTCTACGCGCAGCCCACCTTCCTGGAAGTGCTGTCCGACCCGCAGAGCGTCCACTTGCAGCCATTGGGCAGAGCATCGGGGCCGCTGGACACCAGCCAGACGGCCAGCTCGGGTAGGTGAGGCGAGGCTGCGCGGCTGCCTGACTGGGGGCGACAGCCGGGAGCCCCGCGCCGTCGGCTCTCGCTTGCTGGACCAGGCTTCCTCCCGGCGGAAAAGTTCCTTCCAGGCCGGGGGTCGCTGCCTGGGCCTTGGGCCAACGCGCCTGGTGCCGGGGCCAGGGAGGATGCTTCGGCGTCTGTCAGATTTCGGCCGCAGTGTTTTGGGCGGTCGCGCAGTTCTCCGGTCCCCGCGTCGGGCCGGGCTCGGCCACGACACTCTGTTGGGGCCCCACAGAAAACGCGGTTTGGGGTGTCGGAGGCCGTGGTGCAGGGTCTCCAGCTGGGTCGGAGGGCCCCAGCTCCGCGGCTCCACGGCGGCCCCGGCCTCGTGGAGTATCCGCACTCCCAGGGCTCGATTCTGTTTCGGCTCCGGCCGGGTCTCTGTTGTCCAAAGTTGCCTGTCTCCTCCTCCTTTCCCCATTCCCAAACCCCACGTTGGTCAATTGGGCTTTATTTTTCACCCCCACGAGCTCAGACAACCCGGCCACCGCGGCAGCCAAAGCGCCCACCATCCGCTCCCACGTAAGCGCCACAATACACCGGAGCCCGGGGACGCGCGGGCTCGGGGGCCCTGGGACCCCGGGTGACCTCCCCGCCTTCTCCCGGCGCTGCTTTCCCGGCGGTGCGTCGCGGCCCGCTCGGCCCTCCGGTTCTTGTTCGAGCTTGGCAATTCCCCCGATTTTTCGTTGCGTTTTATTTTGTTTTACGTGGAAAGGCAACGAAAACCAGCGAGTCGCAGGCTCTCGGGCCTCGAGTGGGGACGCATCGTGCTGCCCCGCGAAAGGGACTGTGCCCGCTGCCCCAGGCCTTCCCGGAGCCCAGCTCCCCACGCCTCGGCTCCGCTCCTAGCTCCTCGGAGCCACCTTTCCGGCCCGGGGCACTGGGGCTGGTCTCGCAGGGCAGGGCGCAGGGGGGTCGGGAGCGCCAACTGGGGTCTCTGCGGCCCCCTAAGGGTGCCTCGCTTTCCACCATCCCTGTCCCAAGCGCACCGGGGCCTTTGCCTCTCTTACAACGAAATCTGTTCAAAACCTCCGGATTCAGGCCCCGGCGCGGTAGAGGCCAGTCTGGGCTCAGGGATGGGACGGCCACCCTGGCGCCCGAAGTCTTCCTGGGGAGACAGAGCAGGCTCCCGCCGCTTGCGGAGGCGGCCCGGAGTGGGGCCCTCGCGTGTTTCGGGCACCTTGGAGCGCGACCCCGACTCTCCCGCATGTCCTTCCGCCCGCTTTTCAGATTCTGAAGATGTTTCCTCCACCGATCGAAAAATGTCCAAATCTGCTTTAAACCAGACCAAGAAACGGAAGAAGCGGCGACACAGGTGAGGCCCCGCGGCGATTTCTCTTCTCTCTCCTGCCGGCGCACCCCCGCTGCCCGCCTCGTCCGGGCTGGGGTCTCTGTGACCCTATTTTCGGCGACTCCAGGTCTGAGGTCCGAGGCCGTGCCAGGGCGCAGACCACGCGTTGTTTGGCGGAATCTGCCCGGGGCCTTGGCGTCCGCGCCTGGTGAGCACGATGAGTGGCCGCCGGGGAAGCCGTTCTGTTCGGGCTTTCTCCTCCTTCTGCAGGAGAAAGCAAAGCCTCCGACACCGGCCACACTGAGCCACAGAGCGGGTGGCAGCCCCCAGATCCCCGTATCAGTACATTCCAAGAGCCACACAGACCGCGCGGCAGGCAGATTCGCTCCCACCTCTCGCGGGAGCCGGTTCCTTTGCGCTCTGCCTCACCCGACAACCGCATTTCTCTCCCGGGGTCCCTGTCCTCTCTGCCAGCTCCCTAGCTTTCTGCTCCCACCGTTCCCCAAAGCTGGAGCGCACTGACGGAACACTTTTTTTTTCTTTTTTGGCTTCTTCTCCTTCGTGATTCTGACGAAGTCGCTTCCCTTCAGTGAACCTCAGTTTCCTCGTCTGTAAAATGGAGTGGGGGGCGGTGTAGACTGGACGGTCCCACCAGCTACAGCTGGAGTGGGATGGGCTGCATCGGGGTACAGACTAGAAAGATTTTTTTAAATCTTTAAATAAAAATTACTTGCACAAAGTTAAAACTCAATAGATGTCGACAGGTATATCTTGAAAAGTAACCCACCCTTCTCCCCACCCCCGCCCTCATTCCCTTCTGCACCAGCCTCACTGCTATTCGTTCCTTGGGTACATTTGTGAGGTGGTTTGCAAGGAAATAAAGGAGCGAGAACCAAAAATCTGCCTGCCTTTCTGCGGATGCCGCCCGCAGGTGCTGCCCCGGCGCTCACCTCGGAGCGGTTTCCCCGCAGCTCCCTCCGCTGCCGCAGGCTCCCTTTCGGGACACTTCTCCACTGGGGTGTGTCCCACCCCCCTACATCCTTTGCTCCCACCCCAATTTGTTCTCAGCCTCTTACACCCTCTCTCTTTGAGCTTTTCTTTGCTTCTTTCTTCCTTGACCCTGGGAAACTCCACTGTTGACCCTCCACCTTTTAAAACGGCCTATCGTGACCCCTCAGGCCCTAAGAGGTTCTGGCTTGAGTGTAGGTGAACTTCGACTTGGTTTCTCCGGACCTTGGTTTATTCTTTTACAGCAGCTGTTTGCTTTTGTCCCATTTGTATTGTTTTATTTTAAAAGGAAAAAGAAATTGTTTTTGGTCTTGATCATTGGTCTTTTTTTTTTTTTTTTTTTTTTACATTCAATTCATTCAACGAATATTCATTAAAACACTTTTTATGCACCTATCTTATGCTAGTCCCAGGGTGGGTAATCCTGTCATCTTCCCCAAGCAGGGAGAGGGATAGGGCAGGTCAGAGACTGGCAAAACTGCTCTTGTGCTGGTGCCCGAGGGGTGGGAGGGGTTCCCACAGCAGGGAGAGCGCTGGAAAAAGCATCCCCAAACCCCGGGTACAGGAACGGGTTTCTGCATCAGGAGGTCTCATTGTGTGGCACTTGGAGCTGGGTGACTCGTAGCCCAAATTCCATGCTTAAGATCGCTGACTGTCTGTTCTCTTCTGACACTCTCTTCAGCAGGGACACCTTTGGGGGCTTTGGTGGGTTTTCATGGGGGCAGCACAGCAACTCAGCAACACCAGGTATTAACTGCCTGAGATTTCTATTTCTGGTGCATGAAAGAAGATTATTGGAGAGAGGAGAATGGCTACTGATTTCAAGTGCTGTTTTCAATTAGGAAAAAGTACATTTTACCTGAGCTTCTGTCATTTGAGGATTTGGGACAAGAGACCCTGGAATCTCCTGATGAGAGATGGGCTTGCTTTTATCTTCCAGAAACAAACCAGACTTAGAAGCGTTTGGAGGGGGTGGGGTGGGGTTGAGGCAGCCATGGTGAGAGTCTCTCGGAATTTGCTGTTTCTCTCTACTGGGAAAGCTCCGCTCCTCTTCACATCGAACACAACAGGAGCCTGAAGGGTCTGGGGCTCTGCATAAACCAGGAACAAAGAGGTTGGCTCACACTGTAGGGGAAGCATGTCAACTCTGAGGCATGAATGAGGGAAAGTTTGGGAGATTTGAGTTTTTGTTTCGTTTTTGAAGAGGAGGTCTCCCAAGTAGAGGCTGGGACTTGAATGGTTCTACATGATCTACAGATGGCTCTCCTCTTTGATTGCTTTTGTGCCTCAGTTTCCCCAGTTTCAGAAAGGACTGGCATTTTTAATTGTTTATTTTGGTGCTCTGTCCATGGGCCCTTCAGCAGATGGCAGGAGAGAAAAAGCAGCAGATCTTCAAATTCTCAAGAATTAACTTTCTGTGTATATAAGCATTTCATGTCACTGCCCCCCCCAGACTAACAGAAACGATTTAGCATCAAACCAGTCATTTTCTGTAAAGAGCACCATTTTTCTTTGCTGCATTATCCCCTGAGATATTAAAGTGGACGCCAACATAAGGAATGTGTGAGGCTCACATCTGTACTTTTGGGTTGTGTCAGACAAGGGTGAGGGCACAGCAGTGAGGAATTCTACGCCTCTGTGCTTGCCCTGGGGTCTATCCCATGGGATGAGGCAAGGGCTGTACCATTTCTACAAGTTCGGTTTGTACACGCTGGACTAATTTGCCTTTTGGCTTGTTAATGAGGTTTCAGGATAAAGATCACCCAAAAGCTGGTGAAATTAAGGTCTGAAAAAAGAATAATTTATGTCTGGAAGTAGGTGTTTAGTGGTTTATTCAGGAAAGGGGACCTTTGAATCCCCTAATGTTAGAGGCAACATTTTACGAGTTGGGGCATATTCATTTGCCCATTTTCCTAGGGTGAGAGAATGTAGTTTTTACCAGATTCTTAAAGCAGTTTATAACACAGAATAGATCACTATGAACTGCCCTGTGGGGGGTGGGGAACTGTGCCTGAGGGCTCTCAGGGTCGGCCAAATGGACCCCCCCCCCCAGGTGAGTGGCTGAGTTTGGAGGAACGGGATGGTTGGGTGGTGGCTCTTCCCTTCTCAGCACAGAAGAGGGCTGGAAGAGGCTCTGGGCAGTGCAGGGAAGCTGGCAGGTCTGGGTGGTGTGGAGGAAGGGCAGGAGGAGGAAGGGGCGCTAGGGTGAGTCGAGGGAGTGGGAGATTCAGTTCTCAACTGTGTAAACACTGAGATTGAGGCTGCGTTTGACCTTCTGGTAAATCTTCTAACTTTCAGAGGCATTTAAAAATTCAGCTTTAGTGTCTGTGAGGGCCCAGGAAGCCGGTCTGGGGTCTGGGTGGAGCTGGGCTGTTTGGTTATCTGGTAAGCACCTCTTCTCTGGCTCGGGCACAAGAAGGGCTTTCTGCTTTCCTAGGACATGCTTCTTTTTTTTTTTTTGTATTTTTAATAGAGACGGGGTTTCACCATGTTGACCAGGATGATCTCAATCTCTTGACCTCGTGATCCACCCGCCTCGGCCTCCCAAAGTGCTGGGATTACAGGCTTGAGCCACCGCGCCCGGCCAGAGCATGCTTCTTAATAGCCTTTTCCCAGAGCAGTTCCAGAAAGATCCCCAGTGTGAAATGTCACTGAAGGCTGAAATAATGGCCATCTCATACATACACACACACACACACACACACACACACACACACACACCCCGGAAGGGTAGTGTGAGCCCTCAGTGTGTGTGTGTGTGTGTGTGTGTGTGTGTGTGAGAGAGAGAGAGAGAGAGAGAGAGAGAGAGAAAGAGAGAGAGAGAGAGAGATTGCTTCCAATTGTGCTGAGCCAGCCTGGGTTTGGGGTCTGCCCAGAAGGCAGAGGAAGGCAGTTCTGTCCTCTCTGTGACAGTCTCTTTCAGTTTCTGGGGTCCTGAGTGTCTGGTCTTGCTCCCCTCAGGACAATCTTTACCTCCTACCAGCTTGAGGAGCTGGAGAAGGCATTCAACGAGGCCCACTACCCAGATGTCTATGCCCGGGAGATGCTGGCCATGAAAACAGAGCTGCCGGAAGACAGGATACAGGTAACAGTCCTGAGCCCCTCTCCCCTCCATGCTCCCCGCTCTTGATGACACCTACCGCTCCAGGGTTCCAGAGGCCCAGGAGCCCGCCTCCCAGCCCACTGTGGGCGTGCGCTTGCCTGTGATCGCACTCTCAGCCTATTGAAGCTGAACACCTGCCACATGAGGTGGGCGCTGTAGGGGGATGAGAGGCGTCCAGCTGTGGTCTGGCTGTTCCAGGCTATAGGCTTCCTGGGGAGAAAGGCAGACAGATCCTGCGGGGGTCTGGGGATGAGAGGTGGAGACTGGATGGGCCCCCAGTCCTGGGCAGAGTCTCCGTTGAGGCGAAGGTGTCCTTGGACAGTAACCCCTGCCTGGCCTCTGTTCCAAGGCTGGAGGGACCCCAGGCCTCTGGGTGGCTGCGAAGAGGAAGCTGGCTTCTAGTCCTGACCTGTCTGTTTTCCTCCCCTCCGCTCCCCTTACCATGATGAAAGTGTTGCCCCTTCTCTTCCTGCTCCCCACCCCTCCATCCACCTCAGGCTCCTTCCTGCCACACACAGCCCAGCAGCTGCTGCCCTGACCTGCTCCTCCTTCTCTCCTCCCTGGTCTGGCCCAGGATGTGAGCTGGGGCAGGCGCCTGCAGGTGGCTCACTAAACCCTCCTTCTCTCCTGGGCAGTTTTGTGGCGTAACTAGCCACTGATCTGGGCATGTGGTAGGCACGGGGCCTCCACTTGGTGGCAGCAGGATCTTGGCAAGTCCAGAGCCCCCCACCTGGGCAGGAGTGGGGCTGTGTAATCATTTCTTTGGGAGAGGATGAAGTCTGGGCAGGGCATCCATTGGGCAGAAGGAGTGGGGTGGGAGGAACATTTCCAGAAGATTTAGCGTTGTCTTAGCTGGTGCTCGACCTTCAGTGAAAGCTGCTCCCACTGCCTGAGCGATCCAGAGGCTCCAGAGCTAGTTTACTGCGGAGGCTGGGGCCTGTGGGCCGGGCCCAGTCCTGACCGCCTGGAACTGCTCTGCTCTGCGTCTCCTCCCCAGTCTAGGTCCCCTGTGTCTCCAGGTGTGATGTGTGCCTGGGAGGCGGGGGGAGCCAAGTAAGGTGTGTGAGTTGCTCTGTCCTCTCTCACTGGAGGACCAGAGAATGGGAAATGAGGCTGTGAGGCTCCCTCTCCCCTGGAAATCTATGTGGAATTTCAGCCGATGGTTTTAGACATTGACACTAACAATAAGCTCAATTATTCATAAGCAGATTATGTTTGGTGCATTATCCATGGTGGCCTAGACCCATTACCATCCATCCAGTTGGGTTCTAGTGAGGTAAGCTGGGCATGGATGTTGAATTGTGTGTGCACACGCATGCGTGCGTGTAAGCCAAGCCAGTCCAGCCGATGCATAGCAGTAACCCCTGCCTGGCCTTCATTAGCACAAAGTTGGCCATTCCAGGTGGCTGCGGTAGGGAGGAGCAATGACAAATCCCCACTGTTGGCAGGCCCCACATTTGCAGTATTGACCAGAATGAAGGAACAGCTTGTCTCTTGCAGCGGGTTGTCCTAAAATCTGCTTGGCTGATTAGGTCGAGGAGGGTGGATGAGGTGTTTGGAACCTGCTGAGCTCAGGATTTGAGGGCAGGCTCTCCCTCAGCTGTAACTGCATCGCTATGAATGCCCCAACAGGTGCATTGAACTTAACAGGGCTTTGTTAAGTTGCTTGGGGGTTGTCTCTACGGTGGTGTCTGAGGGCACCAGAATCAGCACAAAAGAGCTTGGGGTGTGGGATGAGGAGAGCTCATCACCCTGTGACTGTGAGGATTGGCTCTGCAATTTGTGAATATCAGAGAAATGAGGGAAGAGTCTCAGAGTTTCAGCAAGGTGGCCTGGGACACATCTCAGTGTGTATTAACAGCAGTCACAGCGATCATTTCCAGAGGAGTTTGCAGGTGCCAGGTGTTCTCCTGAATTCATGACGTGCACAGGAGAGGCAGGGTGGTATAGTGCTAAGGGCCACTGACCCTGGAGCCAGACTGCCTGGGCTCCTGGCTGGGCTTCACCTCCCAGCCTCTCCCAGCCTTCATCTGTACAATGGGGGTGACAGTGGCACCTGCCTTTTGTGCAGAGGCAATGAGCCAAATGTGTGCTGTGTTCAGGACAGTGCTTGGCACGTGCCCCCGGTTCATCCGGTGTCAGATCTGATCTTATTAAATCCTGGTGACAACCAGGGGCTGAAGACCACGAATTTCCTTTGAGAACTGAGGCAGCTGAGGCACAGCCACTTGCCCAGGACCCACGGCTAGTAAGTGGGAGACACAAGACGCAAGCTAGGTCTGAACGGAAAGCCCACCCCGTCCTGCCTGCTCTTCTGTTTGAAGTCTTTGCTTTGACTTGAAGCTGGGGAAGCAGAGGTGATTTGAAGTCAGGAGGGGGCCTGTATCACAGTAAAGATAATCAGTGTTTATTGACTACCAGGCACTGTCATAAAAAAAAAAAAGTGGCTCGAAACTCACTTATATAACACAATTATTTTTTGAATATGCAAATTCTGTACAAAGGGTGAACACTCAGTCCTCCCGCTGCCTCTGCCGCAATCCGCCCGTGTCTTTCATTTCCTCACAGAGCTAGTTCTTGTGTATTCAGCAGAGCCCTCAGAACACCCATGAGCTGGGGTCTACTATTTATTATTCCCATTTGACAGATGGGGAAGCTGAGGTGCAGACAGAGGCCAGAGTTTAGTCCCTTTAGACTCGGAAACCCTTGCTTCCCTCCCTAACATTTCCCCTCAATGTGTTGGCCGCCACTCCTGAGCCAGCCCCCTCCCAGCCCAGCTTTGGGTCAGAGGACTCTGTGGATGAGATAAGTGGGAGGCTCCAAGTCTGGAGTCAGAAACTCTCAGCCCAGCAGTGGCGCAAGCCTGTGGTCCCAGCACTTTGGAAAGCCAAGGTGGGAGGATTGTTTGAGCACAGCAGTTTGAGGCCAGCCTAAGCAAAAAACAAGGCTCTGTCTTTGAAGAAAAGAAAAGAAATTCCTGGCTAGGTGCAGTGGCTCATGCCTGTAATCCCAGCCCTCTGGGAGGCTGAGGTGGGAGAATTCCTTGAGGCCAGCCTGGGCGACATAGTGAAATACCCATCTCTACAAAAAAAATTTTAAAAATAAGCCAAGTATGGTGATGCATACCTGTGACCCCAGCTATTCAAGAGGCTGAGATGGGAGGACCACTTGAACCCAAGAGGTAGAAGCTACATTGAGCCGTGATCGCACCACTGCACTCTAGCCTGGGTGATGGAGCGAGTCTCTGTCTCAAAAACAAACAAACAAACAAAAAACAGAAAGAAATTCTCAAGATGGAATGGACAGATTATTGAACTGGAGATCAGGAACTCGGATTTTAGCTCTAACTCTGACATCTGGTGCAGTAGAGGCTAGGCCACACCATCTGTGAGCCTCAGCTTCCCCATCTGTAGAAGGAAGAGGTGAGATCCCTTCCGGGGGGGGCCTCCTGAGGATCCCTCCCCCGCAAGCCCCTGGGCTACCATTGGTGGAACAGGGGTGCAGGGCAGGTGAAGTTTAACAGTCCCAGATAGACCGCTGGGGCACACATCCCTGCTGGGTCAACTCAAGGCAGCCCCTGCCTGTCTGAGGTCTATTGGCTGATGTCTAATGAGAACCTGCCGTGTGGACACGGAAAGGCAGACACACCTACTTCTAGTCTTTGTTTCACTCCCAACAAGCCAAACTCTGAGTCTGAAATTACTCATTTGTAAGATAATAGTATTTTTCCATAATGCTAACTTAATAAAAATAGTGTTATTACTGGCATTTATTAAGTATTCACCATTGTCCCAGATAATAGGTACTTTCTATGCCTCGTTTCTTTTCCTTCTTTCTTTCTTTTTTTTTTGCGACAGGGTCTCACTCTATCACCCAGTCTGGAGTACAGTGGTGTGATCGTGGCTCACCGAAACCTCAAGTGATTCTCCTGCCTCAGCCTCCTGAGTAGCTGTGATTACAGGTGCCCGCCACCATGCCCAGCTAATTTTTGTATTTTTAGTAGAGACAGGGTTTCACCATGTTGGCTAGGCTGGTCTCAAACTCCTGACCACAAATGATCCACCCACCTTGGCCTCCCAAAGTGCTGGGACTTCAGGTGTAAACCATACCACCCAGCCCGCCTCATTTCATTGAATCATTAACAGGCAAATGAGTTAGATGTCATTCCTACACCCCTACACCCATTTTCCAGATGAAGAAACTGAGGGGCTGAGAGGTAAAGTAAGACTGGGATTGAAACCCAGTACTCAGTTACCATGACATGAGATCCTATGAGAGACATGAATGCCTCTCTACAAACTATAATAATGCAAAGAACAGAGATGACAAACCAGTCCCAGCAGAAGGGCATGGCGACTTCCTCTGCCTGTGTGCTTGGAGGGTAAACACATTCTCACTCTACATCTCTCTGGGCTGGAGGTGGAGGAATTTGGTGCAGTGTTGGGGAAAGAAAAGCTTCTGCTTCTCCACATCAGACTCGAGCACATGGTCCTCTTTGTGTCCCAAATAAATAAATAAAATGCTGGCGCCTGTGATCCCAGCACTTTGGGAGGCTAAGGTGGGAGGATCACTTGAGGCCAGGAGATTGAGACCAGCCTGGGCAACATGTCGAAACCTCATCTCCACAAAAAAAAATACAAAAATTAGCAGGTGTGGTGGCACATGCCTGTGGTCCCAGCTACTTTGGAGGCTGAGGTGGGAGGATTGCTTGAGTCCAGGAGGTCAAGGCTGCAGTGAGCTGTGATCGTGCTACTGCACTCCAGCCTGGGTGACAGAGCAAAATCCTGTTTAAAAAAAAAAAAAAAAATTCTAGAAGCCAGGAAATAAAAAAATTTAAAAAAAAGAAGAAAAAAATTTTTTTTTTTTTGCTAGGATATGGCATTCTGGAAGTCCCTGCCAGCTATCAGCCCTGGGGAAGAGAAGGTGGGTTTCCAGACTGACTTAATTTCCTCTGTGGGGTCATTTGTTCTTAGAATTGTAAGGGCAGGCTACATATATAACTATGTGTTTCCTGTATATTTTTTCTAAGATGTACTTGTTATAAAATGCAAACATTACAGAGCTATGGATGTTCAAAGTGAGCAGAGACTACATTTCACCCCTCTTAGAAGCTTCATTTATGTTGAAGGCTGAGGTTTAGATTCTCTGCCAAGCACTGAGACTTTCCCCCTTTTAAATTGGTCCCTGACTAAGGGTAGGGAACAAAGTATCAGGGGGTCATATTCCAGAAGCAAGAAGACAGATGCCTGGGTGGGGAAGGGTTTGCATGGATCTCATCTCAGGATGGTTATTAGGGCAAGTTTTAAAAACACCCATGGGGGCCTCCCCTACACCCAGCAATTCTAATTTAATTGGTTTAAAATCAAACATCAGCAGCCCGCCACAGTGACTCACGCTTATAATCCTGGCACTTTGGGAGGCCAAGGCAGATGGATCTCTTGAGGTCAGGATTTCGAGACCAGCCTGACCAACATGGTGAAACCCTGTCTCTACTAAAAATACAAAATTAGCTGGGCGTGGTGGTGATGCACACCTGTAATCCCAGCTACTTGGGAAGCTGGGACACGAGAATAGCTTGAACCCGGGAGTCAGAGGATGCAGTGAGCCAAAATGGTGCTATTGCACTCCAGCCTGGGCAACAAGAGCAAAGCTCCGTCTCAAAAAAAAAAAAATTCAAATATCTTGACGTTGGCATCTGTATGCTTTTCAATCTCTCTAGGTGATTTTGTGTGCAGTGAATGTAAACACACGGGGTTGGAGGCTTGGGAGAGGGGTGTTTCTGTAATATGAGAGGAAGAGAGTGGCGTTTTGGCTGGCGGGGTGGGGTGAGGAAGGAAATGGCTTGTTCGTGCTTGGGCAGGAGGCTGCCTGGAAATGTGGTCGGAGCTGCCCCCTAGTGGACAACAAAGGCTGCAGCAAGACTCAGCTTCTCTGAGCCTTAGGCTGGGCTGCGCACAGCGCGCTGAAATAAAACCATGGCTGAAGCACTGAGTGGATGCAGAGTGTGAAGCCCCCTTAAGTCACGCCAGAGATGAGCCCAAATTCATCAGCTTCCAGCCAGAGGGGAAGAGACTGGGTGAATGTGATGGATGCTCACCCAGAGCATGGCCAACAGAGCCAGGCCTGGTGGCATGTGGCAAGATTGCCGAGCAGGGCCTGGGGCGGGGGAGGAAGGAGACCAGAATGTGCAAAGGGCATCTGCCATGCACAGTGTCTCCTTAGGAGGGCGATCCTGGAAGGACTGCAGAGGTCTCCAGGGAGACGATGGAGGGATGGAGCCCTAGGCATGTTGTCTGGTGGAGATGCCAGGGTGGGAGCTTGCAGGACAGGAGCTATGTGATGATGCAGAGACAAGAGGAGGCGTGGGGCACGGCCTCGGCTGTTCCTGCTGATTGCCCATGTAGAGAAAGAGCTAATAGGGTTGCCTGGCATGCTAGCTGTGCCTTTGTATCCGCTTGGCAAGAAGTCCTTCCCGGGGCCCAGTCTACCCTTGGAGGCACAGGCACACTCTGTGCCTGCTGTGGAGGCAGCCGCCAGACAGCTGTGGACAGCCACAGACTTTCCACGACCCGGGCTTTCTGATGGCTGCTGGGGTATCACTGCTGATACCTCTGAGGGGAAATGTATCAACCCAGCCTCGGCTGGGTGCAGTGGCCCGCGCCTGTAATCCCAGCACTTTGGGAGGCCGAGGAGGGTGGATCACCTTGAGATCAGGAGTTTGAGACCAGCCTGGCCAATATGGTGAAACCCTGTCTCTACTAAAAATACAAAAATGAGCTGGACATGGTGACGCATGCCTGTAATCCCAGCTACTTAGGAAGCTGAGGCAGGAGAATCGCTTGAACCTAGGAGGTGGAGGTTGCAGTGAGCCAGGATGGCACCATTGCCCCCCAGTCTGGGTAACAAAGTGAGACTCTGTCTCAAAAAAAAAAAAAAAAAAAAAAAACAGAAAGAAAAGAAAAGAAACCCAGGCTCACTCCCAAACTGAAAGGCTTTCCCTACTCAGCTTGTCCTGGAACTCCAAATCTGGTGGCCCCGGGTGTCACTTTGGGCCCCTTCTCAGGCACTTGGCACCCTGAATGAAGTATAAGGCAGGGCTCTGGTCATCGCTGGCACCTTGATGCAGCGTCTCCCAAAGAGTTTGGGACCAGACTCCCATGTGAGAGGAGCAGTCTCTTCTAGAAAATGGGTGGTCAGGAAAGTGAGCGAGAGAGGGATCAAAGGAATATTGTGGGCCTGTCAGAATGAAGAGTCCAAGCAGAAAAAGGAGCCTAAATGGTGAGAAGGAATGTCAAAGGTGGGAGATAAAATGATGTGGTTTTATGTGAAAGGTGTCCTAGGGCATTTCCTGCAAAGCAAAGCTCATTACACCCCTGACCACAGAATTCATCAAGCATCAGGCCGGAGTGTTTTAGCTCTTACTATGTGCCAGGCATTTCCCACACACGGTTTAATTTTCACCAGAAACCTGAAAAGAGGTGGTGTCGCAGGGCAGGTAAGGAATGGGAAGCTCAAAAAAGTTAAGAAATGCACTTGGGGGCCGGGCGCAGTGGCTCACGCCTGTAATCCCAGCACTTTGGGAGGCCAAGGCAGGTGGATTACCTGAGGTTAAGAGTTTGATACCAGCCTGACCAATATGGTGAAACCCCGTCTCAAAAAAAACAAAAAGAAAGAAAGAAAGAAATGCATTTGGTTGGGCGTGGCAGCTCACACCTGTAATCCCAGCACTTTGGGAGGCTGAGGTGGGTGGATCGCCTGAGGTCAGGAGTTGGAGACCAGCCTGACCAACATGGAGAAACCCCATCTCTACTGAAAATACAAAATTAGCCGGGTGTGGTGGCGCATGTCTGTAATCCCAGCTACTTGGGAGACTGAGGCAGGAGAATCGATTAAACCCAGGAGGTGGAGGTTGCCAAGGTCACGGTGAGCAAGGTTGCACCACTGCACTCCAGCCTGGGCAATGAGAGTGAAACTTTGTCTTAAAAAAAGAAAGAAAGAAAAGAAATGCATTCATAGCCACAAAGGCACCTAGAGGCAGAGCAGAAATCTCCAGCCTAGGGCTTCTAGCTGCTGTGCCACAGTTGACTCACAGGGAGTATGGGCGCTGCGTGGATATTCTCCTGCACTGGAGCCTTAAGGGCTTGGAATATATTTAAAATGTGGGGAGAGGCCGGGCGCAGGGGCTCACACCTGTCTCAGCACTTTGGGAGGCTGAGGCGGGCAGATCACCTGAGGTCAGGAGTTCAAGACCAGCCTGGCCAACATGGTAAAACTCTGTCTCTACTATAAATACAAATAATTGGCTGGGCGTGGTGGCTAGGGAGGCTGAGACAGGAGAATTACTTGAACTCAGGAGGCGGAGATTGCAGTGAGCAGAGATCACGCCAGTGCACTCCAGCCTGGGCAATAAGAGTGAAACTCTCAAAAAGAAAGAAAGAGAGAGAGAGAGAGAGAAGGAAGGAAAGAAGGAAGGAAGGAAGGAGAAAAAAAGAAAGTAGGAAAGAAGGAAAGAAAAAGAAAGAAAGAAAAGAAAGAAAGAGAAAGAAAGAAAGAAAAAGAGAGAGAAAGAGAGAGAGAGGGAAGGAAGGAAGGAGAAAGAAAGTAAGAAAGAAGGAAAGAAAAAGAAAGAAAGAGAGAGAGAAAGAAAGAAAGGAAAGAAAGAAGAAAGAAAAGGAAGGAAGGAAGGAAGAAAGAGAAAGAAAGAAAGAAAAGAAAAGAAAGAAAGAACAGAAGGCAGGAAAGAAATAAAAACAGAAAAGTGTGGGGAGAGTTTCGGAGCATCTGTTTAGCTCTCCAGATGCCTAAAGGGGAAGCTAGAGACTGTCTGTGTGGAATATTACAGCCGAAGGTTGGCTCTATCTTCCCCTTGTCCTGGATTGTGGTTATTACTGTCAGTCCAGCCTTGAAGGGCATGTGAGGACGGCCAGAGGGCCAGGTAAGACCACTGATTAACTTCTGGGCAGGTTCCCGTTGTTTTCAGTGCCTCTACCGAAAACACACTTCTTGGGCCCTTCTGTATGACAAGCACTGATTTTAGGCACTCACTTATTTCATGTAAGTGAGTTTTTGTTTGTTCCTTCAAACAACCCCGAAAAGTGGATATTGTTATTTTTTATTTGAAGAGACTGAGACTGAGAGAAGTCAAGTTACTTGCCTAAAGTCACACAGCAATTTTTCAGAGCTGGGAATTCCCAGTGAGGACTGGCTGGCCTCAATGCTTCTTGTAAATTTTTAAGTTCTGTATACAGGCCAGCGGCTTCCAGGAAAGGAATGGAAAGAGACACATACGGAGCGGTTAGGGTTAATTCTAATTCCTTGTCCACTTCCCTCCAAGGCACCATTGCCACAGCTTCCCTGCCAACTGTCCTAGAAATTGTTTTGGCCGTCCAGGTTTCCTCCATAAATTGGAGTAGCATCTGGTCTTCACAGAGAGCCAGGCATTCCAGGAGCCCATAACTGAGGGTCTGGATACTTCTGGTTTGAGCGACCAGCTGGCACCGGCTCCCCTGGGAGAGTGTCTGTGGGCAAAGTCTGATCTGTGCAGATCAGCCAGATATTCATTTGCCCAAATTAGGAGACCCAGGAAAATGGTTCTGTTTACAAGCCCCAGAGATGATCTGAATCCCGAGTCTGCACCCCCTTCTTTAGTACCCTAAAAATGCTGTTTCCATCTGGAAAGCTGCCCCCTCTCAAGCACGGGTATTCCTGGAACTCCTGGGGAAGCCAGGGCAATGCACCAGGTATCCACGCTGGGTGGGCGGGTGGGGGAGGCACCACTGTCTTTGTATATTCCCCAGTGCCTTTTCCAGAATCCCTAAGTCCCAGCTACTTACTTGGCTCACTGCAATCTCTACCTCCTAAGTTCAAGTGATTTCTCCTGAAAACGGAACTCTCTTTTATAAATTTAGCATCAGAACTTAGTGATGGCAAAAACCAGACCAGACCTTGCAGAATTTCTTTATCGTTCTTAGTGTAAACATGTACATACATGCTTTGCTGCAGAAATCGAAGCTGCTGGGTTTGATCATGAGGTGCTGCTGCAGGACAGTGTGTTGCTGTGGTTTATGCATCACATCTTTTGTCTTAAATCCAAAACATTCTCCAATCTGGCTGCACAGATACCAGTCAAAGGGTTGTGGCCTTGTTTTATTAGGATGGTGCAAAAGTCATTGCGGTTTTTGCCATTGAAAGTCATTACTTTCGACAGGGTATGGTGGCTTATGTCTGTAACCGCAGCACTTTGGGAGGCCAAGGCCGGTGGATCACCTGAGGTCAGAAGTTCAAGACCAGCCTGACCAACAAGGTGAAACCCTGTCTGTACTACAAATACAAAAATTAGTCGGGTGTGGTGGCAGGTGCCTATAGTCCCAGCTACTCAGGAGGTTGAGACAGGAGAATTATTTGAACCAGGGAGGTGGAAGATGCAGTGAGCTGAGATTGCGCCATTGCACTCCAGCCGGGGCCATGGAGTGAGACTCTGACTCAAAAAATAATAATTACTTTCAATGGCAAAAATCCCAATGACTGTTTTGCACCAACCTAATAGAATGTACTGTATCCAAGCAGGACAGACTGTCTCCTGACCAGGAAGCAGGTGGCTTCTTATAGTCATGAAGCAAACCTCCCCAGTTCTCTGTGGCCACACTTGGTGTGTGGAATTCCATCACCAGGGGATTCATTCTTTGCTGTCTTCTCCGAGAAGTGGATAAAACCTGGAGTCATCCTTCATTTGTTTGTTTTTGGTTTTCAGACAGAGGCTTGCTCTGTTGCACAGGCTGGAGTGCAGGGGCGTGATCTCTGCTCACTGCAACCCTCACCTCCCAGGTTTAAGCGATTCTCCTGCCTCAGGCTCCCAAGTAGCTGGGATTACAGGTGTGCACCACCACGGCCGGCTATTTTTTGTATTTTTAGTAGCGACAAGGTTTCACTATGTTGGCCAGCCTGGTCTCGAACTCCTGACCTCAGATGATCCACCTGTCTTGGCCTCGCAAAGTGCTGGGATTACAGGCGTGGGCCACCGCGTCCAGCCGGGAGTCATACTTTTATTAGTCGTTTTAGATTTTTCCTCTGTGGGAGAAAGCAGCTTGCAGCAAGCGGATATGCTAAGGGGAGGGCGATGGGGCAGGATTGAGGCCCCACACAAACCGCAGGCCCCGGGTAGGACAGCTAGTCCGGCACGCATCCTGCAGCACAGGCCTGCAGCGCTGGGGAGATCTACACACGGCGTGGAGCCAGGCTGGGACGCAGGCCCGAGTTAGCCTTGCTCCCGGGCACGGAGGACGGCCATCTAGCGGGCTTCGGATTACACAAACCCTTTCCTTGGCTGGAGGTCTCCCAGGGCGGTAGGGTCCGGACAAGGCAGAGGCCTTGCACCTGTGCTTCCCAACCCCCCAGTTCTGAGCGGGAACTGCAGGTGCCAAACCCGGTGGCGGCAAAAGTGCGCCCACACGGAGACGGCGCCACCCGGGGCGGGAGAGGCCCGGAGCATCTGAGGCCGTGTCGCTTTCAGTTGTTTACAGCCTCCCAGGTATTTATAAATGAAGAAAGGCCAGAGTTACACGCGTTTGGGTCAACTTAAAGGTGCGCGTGCCCAGGGCGGTGCTCTGTGACCTCGTTGGGGGATGCCAAGAGGGCGGGCGGGAGCGCCCCCTGCCGGGGATGGCCGGCCGCGCTCCGCCACAGACTCCTGGCCGCCGGGAGCTCACCCCGCCACCTGGCGGCGATGGCGGGAACCGCAGGAGCGCGCGGACCCCGAGCCCCGCCGGCCCCAGCCCGGGCTCCCCAGGCAGCAAAGGGTTAAGCTGTCAGCGGTGCGATGTTAAACAGGTGTCAAAGGCGCCCCATATATCTGCAGATTGAAATCAAATTCTTTGCCGTATAAAAAGATAAATTACCCAGGCGCTGCCGCGCGTCCCACTCATCACGCCAGCGCCAGACGGCAAGCAATTTTTTTTTTTAATGTGCTAACGACCTAATCAAGCAATCAAGTCGGAGGAGATTGCAGCGTGACCCGGGCAGCCATCTGCCGCCGAGCCCGCATGCATTTCCGCGCCGCGCCGGGCGGGGGCCGCGAGGGGCTGCCGGGGGGAAGGGGGAAAATCCTAAACAAATTAACACCCAATTTTCCCCGTCTAATTAGTTAAATGAGAAGAGTTGGGGTCCCTGGGGGAGCGGGGGCGGCTCGCGGCGAGGCGAGCGCTGCCTCCCCAGCATTAATTAGTGCGGGTCAATGCCGCGGCTCCCGGGAGAGCAGCCGCTTTAATTTCCCGTGATATTTCAGTGCCTGAGGCCCATCGATTCAAACTGAAATTAACTTATTTTTCAATCAGCCCAGGGCTGCCCCTGGGGGTGACTCTTCTTTTGCCGCCTCCTGAATAGAGCTGGAGCAATTTTTCATTAAAAGCTGATACCTCGGCCGCAGGGGAGGGGGCCCGGAGGGAAGGGCGGGGCCGGCCCAGACTCGGGCAAGGAAATCGGGAGGAAATGAATAGATTTCCGGAGCCCGCCTTGGGCCTCCCCTCCCTTGCCCTCCCCCACTTCCCTGGGGCGACTCGCTGTCCCCAGGGTCTGAGGCTTAAGTGCTGTGAGGGGCGAGAAGGGACCCGCCAGGCATGGGGCCCACCAGTTCCCCGCGGGCCTCGCATCTCCTAGGGCGACAATGCAAGGAGCTCCTGATTCTGACAGCTGCGGGAAATCTCCGGAAAGCTGCTCTGCGGGGCCAAGAAATCTTCCTTCCCCAATCCTGACGGGGATTCTGGGATCTCTTCCAAGAATGAGCTAGAGTGCTGCGGACACCAAGGCACCCTACTCTCATTCAGACTCTGCATCAATCAGCTTTGGGGCCAGAGACACATTTGCCAGTGCTTCCTCCACCCCCACCCCCTCCCAGGGCCCTCCTCCCATTTCCTCCTCAACCCTGGAGAATGCTGTCTTCCTCCCTGGCCCAGGTACTCCAAATACCATTCAGAGTTAGGCCCGGAGCTGTGGGGAGCAGGTACCTGGAGGGCACATGGGGCTTGGCACAGCGCAGAGGAGAGAGGCTGACCCAGGCCTTCCCAGGGAGTCTCCCTCCCTAAATCCTCAGCCTCCCTGATACCTGAGTGAAGTGCCCCTAAGACTGTCCCCTGCCCTTTGTCCCTCACTCCCCACTCACCTGCAGCCTTTCTGGATGGTTCTGGCTCTGGGCTTTTGGCAGAGAGGAAGCCCCGAGCCAGAGACACTGCTAGTCCAGTGCTGGGAAAGGAATTTGTCCCTCTGTAAATCAGAAAAAGATTTGTATGCCGGAGGTGCGAACTCATGCAAGAGTGCCATCAGTGGTGGGGCGGGCTTCTCAGCTGCAAATAGCGGAAGACCCTGGATCCTGCGCACCTGCAACACCCTGTCCAGGAGGCATCCTACCCCATCTCCCTAGAACTACCCATGTTATTCTCATAAGACTCATGTCCTCCTTCTGAATACTCCCTGGCCCTGGAGGAACCCAGGGGGCACCATGGAGTGGGCGAGCTTAGGTTAAGGATGCCCTGCTGGAGAAACCTTCACTCCAGGCCCGCAGGGAGTAAGGCCCTTGGGCCCAGCACCTCTCAGAGTGAGCCTCTGACCTGTTCTGTGCACCTACAGGTCTGGTTCCAGAACCGCAGAGCCAAGTGGAGGAAGCGGGAGAAGTGCTGGGGCCGGAGCAGTGTCATGGCAGAGTACGGGCTCTACGGGGCCATGGTGCGGCACTCCATTCCCCTGCCTGAGTCCATCCTCAAGTCTGCCAAGGATGGCATCATGGACTCCTGTGCCCCGTGGCTACTGGGTAAGAGCCCGCACCCTCCTTGGGGCCCTGCCCCTGCGGTGAGGAGAGCGGGCTCCTTGGAGGAGGGGACAGAGCCTTGGGGCAGGGGACTTGGGCCACAGCAGTCTAGCAGGAGAGAAGCTCTTCAAAGCAAGCCTCCTGGTCTCCCCGGGGGGCCGGGGGGGGGGGGGGGGGGGATGGGCATGGGGCCTGGTGTCTGTCACTTGCACTGGGTGACAAGAACTCTCATAATCAACGAGTCCCTATCTGGAGGGTCCCTAACTGTGTATTCTTTTGTCCTGTGAGAATGGTGTGGCTGTTGCCCTGGAGTCTGTACCCCACTCTCCCCTTGGCCAGAGGTGGGCTTATGGTTGAACAAAACAGCCTCCCTTGGCGGTTGAGAGGACCCCTAGGTCCTTCTGGCTGCCATTCTGCTTTGCGCAAAGGACTTCTGTTCCCCAAATCTCTCTCCTAGCTATCTTCCCCTCCTGCTGTCTTCCCTACCGCCCTCTGGGCCTATATTTGAGAACAGCCCAAGCTTCTCTTGGGGTTCTAAGATCTGGAATCCCACGGGGGAAGGACAGGGGAGTATGTGCTGTGGCCTGGAAGGGACAGAACAGGCCACCCGGGCCCAGGTGCCCAGGGCTTTGGCAGGGGGAAGTCCCCCACAGGCCTGGTGATCCCATCTCCCCATTCCCTGCCCCTGGCCCTGGCCCAGCCCTGGGACTCGTGTGACTGTGGTGTGGGAGGTAAGGCTTTCTGCTCGTCCTTAATTCTGGCCTCTCTCTATCTTTGCCGTTTTCAGTTCAAGATGGCTTTCCCAGGCGCTTTTCTAAACCCGAATACCAACAATTCTTTTTAGGGATGCACAAAAAGTCGCTGGAGGCAGCAGCCGAGTCGGGGAGGAAACCCGAGGGGGAACGCCAGGCCCTGCCCAAGCTCGACAAGATGGAGCAGGAGGAGCGGGGCGCCGACGCTCAGGCGGCCATCTCCCAGGAGGAACTGAGGGAGAACAGCATTGCGGCGCTCCGGGCCAAAGCTCAGGAGCACAGCACCAAAGTGCTGGGGACTGTGTCTGGGCCGGACAGCCTGGCCCGGAGTACCGAGAAGCCAGAGGAGGAGGAGGCCATGGATGAAGACAGGCCGGCGGAGAGGCTCAGTCCACCGCAGCTGGAGGACATGGCTTAGGTCAAGGGGTGTTCAGATGCCGGAGCCCCAAGACTCTGCTCTCCTCGGGGCCTGTGGTGCTGGGAGGTACTCTCTGAGGCAAGACCCAGGCCTGGCCTCTGCCATCCTCTTTGCCCCCACAGGCCCTCCATCACCCCTGGTGGCTGCAGGCACAGCTGAGTTCCGACTCTGGACCATGCTGAGACATCCCTGATCTAGTCTTGACCTCTCCAGCATCCCAGCCTCAGACGCCTTCTTGCTGCCCACAACATCCCCTCAAGCCCCTTTTCCCTCAATCCCTTTGCAACGATCACTGGTTTTGGCCACCCTTTGCTCTCTGTTCTCTTGCTTTAAAGAACCCTCCTTCCCAGCTGTACATCCTTTGTGGATTCTGCTCTGCCCATGCCTAAAGCCCATTGCTGCAAATGCATCGTGCGTTGCCTGCCACAGCTGTGACGCAGACGGAGGACTGGAACTGCAGCTCCAGCATTCTGAGCACCCCAGTCCTCAGCAAAAGTCTTCTCCTCACTCAGCCTGTTCCTCCCTGCAGACCTGGCTGGGCCTGGGCTTCCGAAGTGTGAAGACACCACCCTGCAGGCCCAGGCAGACACAGCCTTTCCCCCACCCATCAGTGGAGTACAGATGGCAGGCTACACTTGGGAAGTCAAGTCTCAGCCTGGGCCCCTCAGCCACCCTTGGTCTCATGCCTTGCCATGGTTACCCTCAGGAACCCACCCTCTCCACGCCCAGCCTGTCCCACTGGGTCCTCCCAGCCTAGGCAACTACATGGCATGTGGCAATATTCGCTGCATGCCATGAGTCCATGTCCTATGCCTCACAAATACTGCAGCTCACTGCATTGTTTAGGAATCTAAACCCTCTACCCTGTGTCCTCAGGCCCCTGGGCCTGTGTTCTGAAGCATCTTGACTCTCCTGACAGGCTGCCTGTGACCTTGACTTGCTGTGAAGTCACCCTTCCCCCACAGCTCCTTGCAAACTGTTAGTTTGCATGTGCTCTGCCTGGAACAACCCAATCTAGCTGGTAAACGGCATCTAGGAAGCCACAGGCCTGGCCTCCACTGAGAAGCCAAGCCTGGAGTAGGCCTGGGACTATGCATATGCATTAAGGGCCTGGTAGAGAAACCTTCACTCCAGGCAGACAGGGAGCTAAGGGCCTAGGGCTGAGCACCTCTCAGAGCAAGCTTTTACCCTGTTCAGAAGGATGGGAGAAAGGATGGAAGGAAAGCAGGGTAGAAGGCCAGGTATAAGCCCATGCAAAGCTGTAGGTTCACACGCCTTCATGCCAGTGTATGCCAGGAGGCACGTCCACTAGACTAAAACACAGTAACTGTGATGGAATAAAGAGCTGGGACTTCTCTCTGCCGGTGGATGGGTAGACCTGTTGGTGCCGCGACCTCTCTGGCCTGGCCTTGCCTTTTCCATTCGCATGAGCACTGGGAGCACATAGCCCTGTTGACTCGCCCGATCCAGACTCCCAGGCCAAGCTCCCGACCCTATCCACCCCACCACCATCCCACCCACATTTTCAGGGAATACCTCGTTGGAGAAAGGCCCGAGACAGTGCATTGCAACTTTAATTCCATATCAAAAGTTGATTTCTCCTTCATTCCATTTATGGAACTTCCCTCCCTGGTTCTTCTTGTCTTTGTCCCTGTTGGTTTGAAGTGTTAGACTGTAGCCCCCGGTGTGTAAATAATGTACATAGAGTGAGAAGAAAGAAACTTGATATTGAGGTGTTTGAAATATGGAACTGTAATAACTCCTAGGTATTCGAAACTTGTGATTTCTGTGCCATTTTCTGTAAAGATACAAGTAAGAATAAAATTGACATAAAAATAGCAGGGGAGGAATTCAGGAGTCCATTGTGGGTGGAGAATGGTCTGTGTTCTGTGTGTTTGGGTTGCATAAAAGTAAATCTATGACCTGGTGCAGTGGCTCACGCTTGTAATGCCAGCACTTTGGGAGGCCGAGGGGGGCAGATCACTTGAGGCCAGGAGTTCGAGACCAGCCTGGCCAAATGGCAAAACCCTGTGTTTACTAAAAATTAGCCAGGCGTAGTGGCATACATCTGTAATCCCAGCTACTCAGGAGGCTAAGGCAGGAGGATCCCTTGAACCTGGGAGGTGGAAGTCACAGTGAGCTGAGATCACGCCACTGCACTCCAACCCGGGCAACAGAGCAAGACCCTGTCTCAAAAAGAAAAAAAGGTAAATCTACAAATTGATTTTAGGTCAAACTGACTGGGCTCCTTTTTGAAAATGACTCTAATTGTAAAGGTACAAGTGGCCTACGTCTCTCCACTGAGCTGACACCACCCTTCAATGACGTCAGTCACTGGGACATGGGATCTGCTTCCATGACTGACACAACTTAAATGTCCCAACTATTCATAATTCTTACCTCTGACTCCCTCCTGCTCCCCACACACTAGTCTGCGTTTGCCTTTCTCCATGGTACTGACTCACTGATAACCCCGTTTCCTCCCCTACTCTGTGGAAGCCCACAGCCCACCTTGGCCCCTAAGAGGACTCCCCTCCTTTTGTGCACAGCTATGCTCTTCCACGTCTTACCCTCCGCCTAAACAGCAGCAAACAAAAAAGGTAATGGTCTCTGAAACTGCAAGACAGACAGATTATGCTAAATCCTTATCAAAGGGAAGGAGACTCAACGAGAAAAACAGCTGGAGGAGGACCACATGAAATTGTCTACAGACAGCTGTGACCCACAGACTTGATGATGTGCTGGAATTACAAGATGAGAGAGGGATGAGCAGATGAGAGAGGTTGTATTTGAGCTTTGGGCTCAAAGAATCTCATAAGATTGTTTCAAATTGGCTCAGATGTGAACTCCCTTGTGGATGAGGTTTCTGGCAGCCCATCAGTGAAGGAGAATACAGGTTAGCAGTCCTTACACCCTGGATTGGACCCAAATGTGGTCCTCACAGCCCCAGACCCTGAGGGGCACATGTGAGAAATCTTCAGCTCCTGTGTGGGGACGGGAAAGAACCTTGAGCCTGGCTTCACGTCCTACCATGCGCAGCTGCTCCTGGGCCTTCCCCGGCACGTCAGCTCCTGCAGGACTCATCCTCGGTCTAGGAATACCCTCCTCTCACCCTGTCCTCCCCCAATCCTCCAGGAAGTAAGCCACCTGTCATCCTTCCAGTCTCCTCCCCTTTGAAACCCTCCTGACCTTCCAGGAAGAGTGTATTTATTTACTGATTTATTTATTTTTGAGACAGGGTCTCGCTCTGTTGCTCAGGCTGGAGTGCAGTGGCGTGATCATGGCTCATTGCAGCCTTGAGCTCTCAGATCAAGCCGTTCTCCCACCTCAGCCTCCTGAGCAGCTGGGACTACAGGTGCGTATCACACTGACTAATTTTTAGTGGAGATGAGGTCCCACTATGTTGCCCAGGTTGGTCCTGAACTCCTGGGTTTAAGCAATCCTCCCACTTCGGCCTCCCAAAGTGCTGGGACTACAGGAGTGAGCCACTGCACCTAGCCAGGAATAGTTTATAACCGCTGTTCTCTGATAGCATTTGGGACGTTCCTGATTATGGCATTTTACACATTGTGTTGCAATTTTTTTTTATCAACTCTATCTTTCCCATAAGACAGATTTCTTCAAGGGTAGGCCTATATCTTATTCATCTTTTATCCCAGGACCCATCAAAGGGCCTGACCCGCAGTCCACTGTTGAATGCATGGATGAACGTTCTGCCTGTAATTCATCATGTATTCAATAATCTAAAAATAACGATGGAGCATCTAATATGTATCAGGCAGCGGCACTGAGGATATAGTAGCAGGCAAAGCAGTCCCAAATTCCCTGTTCTTTCTTTTTTCTTTTGAGACAGAGTCTTGCTCTGTCGCCCAGGCTGGAGTGCAGTGGCACAATCTCGGCTCACTGCAACCTCCGCCTCCCAGGCTCAAGCAATTCTCCTACCTCAGCCTCCTGAGTAGCTGGAATTACAGGTGTATGCTACCACATCTGGCTAAATTTTTGTATTTTTCATAGAGATGGGGCTCAAACTCCTGACCTCAAGTGATCCACCTGCCTCAGCCTCCCAAAGTGCTGGGATTAGAGGCATGAGCCACCACGCCTGACCCCAAGTACCCTGTTCTCATGGAACTTAACAGTCTGGAGGGAAAGACAAATAGAATGTATAGAACCATACAAATAAAATATGAAGTTGCAAATGTCCTGTGAACTTGGAGGCACGCTATAAGAAACTGTGAAAGCATCTAACGGGGTGACTTGACCATCTGTGGGCCTTGGGCCAGGGTGTTTACCCTCTAAGCCCCTCTCTCTGTGTTCTAAAATGAAATGGTAGCATCTGCTCTGCCTGTCGTGGCGTAGAGTTGTGAGGTAGAAGTGAGGACCTGGGGAAAGGCACTGTACAGCACAAAGGGAAGGCGGCGGGGATGCCGGGAGCATCCTTGGCAGCTGCCCACCCTCAGGTAGGCCTAGGGGACCTTGGATGATCACTCCAGGGGATCTGCCTGGAGAAGCAGCAGCTCTCTGCACAAGGAAATGCAAATAGGCTTACAAGTAATCGATGAGGGGAGAGGCTGGACAGGAAAGAAAGGCCTGGACGGCCAGGCCCAACTGAGGCAGAACAAAGAGAGGTCCTGCTAGGTGCTGACTGCACCCTCGAAGTGTTGTCTTGCCTCCGACCCTGACACCTGGTTCCTGGAAGGGAGATTTTATTCCAGGCTCTGCAGGGCTAACAGGCTGCCGAGAGATGGCGGCATGCACCAAGAAGAGCAGCAGAGAGCCACAGGGGCAGGAGGTGCTGGTTCATGAGGGCTGTGGGAGCTGCTGAGCAGGCCTGGCAGAAATTGATGAGGAAGAGTCTGGCCAGGAGGTAGGAGAGTGACAAGCAGGGCTGGTGACAGCGGGGGAGTTCCTGAGGCCAGTCCTGTGGCCTGGAGAGAGCAGCTGCTGCAAGAAAGCGGGACGCTATCTAAGGGATTGCTGGGAGCTGGTCCCAGCCTCCTGCTGGCCCTCCAGCCTCCTGTGTCTCTGCACCCAACAGCTCCCTGGGGCCTTGGAGTCTTTCTCCTACTGCAGTGCCTTCCCTGCCTCTCTTCAGAGTGTGGAGCTGCGGGCAGCATGGCCCGTCAATTCCAACAGAGGTACCATACTAAAGTCAGATGTCAATAAGAGGCAACACTGGGTGAGGGGGTGTCTTAGTCTGTTTTGTGTGGCGATAACAGAATACCACGGACTGAGTAATTTATAAAGAAAAGATGTTTCAGGTAACAGAGGCTTGGGTAAAAAAAAAAAAGAAAAAAAGAAAAACTAAACAAAAGAGAGACTGGCATGGTGGCTCACACCGGTAATCCCAGCACTTTGGGAGGCTGAGGTGGGTGCATCACTTGTGGCCAGGAGTTCGAGACCAAACTGGCCAACATGGTGAAACCCTGTTTCTAGGAAAAACACCAAATTAGCTGGGCGTGGTGGTATGTGCATATGGTCCCAGCTACTCGGGAGGCTGAGGCACAAGGCTTGAGCTTGGGAGGTGGAGGTTGCTGTGAGCCAAGATTGCACCATTGCACTCCAGCCCCAGCAATAGAGCCATACCCAATCTCGAAAAAAAATAAAAGAAAAAAATTTATTTCTTAACAGTTCTGGAGGCTGGGAAGTCCAAGGTCAAGGGACTACATCTGGTGAGGATCTTCTTGCTGCATCATAACATGGTGGGAGGTAGAAGGGCACAAGAGCATGTGTTAGAGAACAAGAGGGGGCTGACTTTGCTTTTACAACAGGCCCGCGACCGTGATAACTTTAATCCATTCTCCCTTATGACCTAATCAGCTATTAGGCCCCACCTCCCAACACTGTGGCATTGGGGGTTGTGTTTCCAACACATGAACTTGGAGGAACACATTCAAACCACAGCATGGGTTATGAGTTCTCTGTACTATGGACCTGGGAACTCTGTAATCTTCACAATTTTTTTGTAAATCTAAAATTGTAAAAATAAAGCTTGCTTTTAGGGTGGGCATGGTGGTTCACACCTGTAATCCCAACACTTTGGGAGGCTAAAGCAGGTGAAATCATTTGAGGTCAGGAGTTCAAGACCAGCTTGAGCAACATGGCAAAACCGTCTCTACTAAAAATACAAAAATTAGCTGGGCATGGTGGTGGGCACCTATAATCACAGTTACTCAGGAGGCTGAAGGTGGGAGAATCCCTTGAACCCAGGAGGTGAAGGTTACAGTGAGCCAAGATGGCACCATAGCATTCCAGCCTGGGTGATGGAGTGAGGCTCTGTCTCAAAAAAAAAAACAGAAAAAAAAGTTATATTTTAAAACAAACTAGTTGGTTTCTAGAGAAAAGCAGCAGAGGGCTTCTTTGGGTTGGAACAAGCACCGGGGCTGCCCCTCTCCCTGTGTCTGACCCCCAGGGCTCCATTTGCCAAGTGTCCCAGTTGGTCCCCTAGGCCCTGAAGTCCTGGGGAACTAAGGACGTCCCTCTGGGGAACCGAGCTGGGGTCAAGAGCCCCTGGCCCCAGCTGGCCCTGTCTCCTGGAGCTTCCCATCTCCCATTTCTTCTTTAGGTCTCCCTGTTGTCCCCACCTCCTGACTGGCTGTTCAACTCAGGCAGCAATGAAGTCAGGGACATCTGTGCTTAGTCACAGCTGAGCAGGCCCAGCAGTGATCTGCTCCATTAATTCCTCACTCCAGATCAATCCCTCCCAATGCTATTTTCATTGATTGTTGGCCTCCTCCTTCCCCCACTCCTCACCTCTTAGCCAAAGACCCCTCCCATTTATCTCCATGGCTCTGGCTCCTCAAGAGGCAGAGCCAGGCTGTGGACCTCAGGGAGTCTCTGTCAGAGGAAGGAGTCAAAAAATGAGGAGGTAGCATTCTGTTCAGCTGCAGAATTGCTTGAGCTGATATTCACTCACCCCTTTTGTGATGGCCGAGGCCAGAGAAAAGGTGGTTGACCAGGCGGACCATGGTGGGCTTGGAGGCGAGAGGGAAGAGGAGGAAATGTTCACTAGGAGCATATTTAAATGTCTAGGCTTCCTTAGAGACATGTACTGTCAATTAACTGTTTTCCTCTTGAATGGACTATAATTTCTTATTTCTTGTATAATCTGTGAGGTTCTACTTGTTATTAGAAAACTAGACATTTGAATATTACAATACGGCAACCCTGGAAATCAGTTTCTCCTCCTTCCTGAGTTTACTGTTTTTAATTGTTGAAGGCTGTAGCTGCCTATTTGTTTGGTGACTTTACCAAACTATTTTTGCAAAGTCAGTAATCCTTGTCATGTGTGGTCTCTGTTCAGCTAGTGCCTTGAGAGATTTCCTTGAATATCAGGAGCTAAAAACAAATGAACCCCTCTGTCCTGCCCTGAACTTGAGCCTTCTCTGAGGCTTCCAACCTTCAAGACTCTTACCTACCTACAGATGAACAAATTCACTAACCCACCCTGGCCAGCTTCACCCTGCTTGAAGGCTCAAGGTCAATGTTCCCCAGCCCATGTCCTCCTGCCTGAAGCCCCAGGCCAGGGCCTAGCTAAGATTCACCCCACCCACTAGGAGGGCATTGCTGCAGCTTCCCACAAGGGTACTGGGCCCCCTCTCAGCTGACTCATTCTTCAAGGGCAGGATGTCCCAACAATTGCACGTGTCTCCAGAGTCCTCTCTGTCCCAGGGATTAGCTCAGGAGCACTCATTGTCCCAACATCCGGTATAGCATCAGCCAGAAGCTCCTGGCACTGATAGGACAGTGCTTCCAGAAAGGCAGCATTTACAGAGACTAACAGGCATTGCATTTCTCTGGCTTCCTGGAACTGAAAAGCTCAGCTCTGTTGCAGATACAGAACACAGAGCACAACTCTCTGGCCTATGGCAGGAACAGAGGCTTATTTGTGACCTGCCAGTCCCTGCCAGCCTCAAAATGACTGGGGTGACTAGCCCAAGTCTCTTGGGGGCTTCTTATCCTCTGCCCATGAAAAGCATCTCCCTCCTTCCTTCCCTCCTTCCCCTGCCCAGAGCCTTTCCCACTCTGCTTTCTTCCCAACTGGCCTAGTCCATGTGGCCAGGTTACCAGCTCACCCTCCTCAGGCTGTCTTTCATACCTAGCAGAACCCCCAGGCATTGTTTTGCAAGGACTCAAAGACCCGACCTCTGGCAGCCCCATCAGCAATAGCCCAGGTCCTGCAGCCTTTCTTGTGGCTAGGTCTGTGGTGAGGATTAAATGAAAAAATGTGCAGGGCCCAGTGGTTCATGCCTGTAATCTCAGCACTCCCAGAGGCCGAGGCAAGAGGACTACTTGGGTCCAGGAGTTCAAGACCAGCCTGGGCAACATGATGAGACCCCATCTCCCAAAAAAAAAAAAAAAAAATAGCTGGGTGTGGTAGCGTGCATCGATAGTTCCGGCTACTCAGGAGGCTGAGGCAGGAGGATTGCTTCAGCCCAAGCAGTCAAGGCTGCAGTGATCTATGATTGTGTACTACGCTTCAGCCTGGGTGACAGAGCAAGACCCCGTCATTCATACATATACATATACATAAATGAAAAAGTGTCTGGAGAATGCTGGATGCGGGGGAGGGGCAGCAGCTGTTTATGAGAACTTCTGTCTGCAGTGTCTGCTCCACAGGTGTTGCATTCGTGAATTTTTGTTCAAAAGCTAAGATCACTTCCATCCTCCCTGGTCTTTCCTGAAATAAACTGTCCTAGAATCCAACTTGTCCCCTCCAGCACTCAAGTCCTTTTGGAGAGGTTCAAGAGGCTGCAGGGGAGAGACAGGAGAGGGAGAGAAGACACAGGGCCCTGCATAAGAAGTAAAACTGAAAGATAATGGGGACGTTAAAGATGGTTTGCTTTGCAGCGGAAACAGAACTCCCTACAAACTCATGAACCATCTGGTAACATTCTGTAAGTCTTCCATGGTTTTGTAGTTGACTTGATGTTTTGGAAAATGCTAGAATGCTCAAGTTCTTGAGGCAGCTCAAGAAGACCTGCTAAGTATCACAACAGACATACGATTTTGTAAATGTCTTCCACTTGTGGTTGAGCCGAAAGCGTTTTCCAGCTTTCTGTCTTCAGACCCACCACGTACCACATTTGGAACACATGAGCTCCAGCGGAGAGGCTAGATCCATCGTGCTCCCCACTGTCACCCTGGAACTCAGAAGGGCACCTCAGACATGGTTGGTGTGCGGCAAACCAAAGTGCCCTCACTTTCAAGAGCTGCCCCATGGCCCACAGAATGGCCACACCACCAGTTACTAACATACCCTACGTGGCAGGCTCAGGCTGCCTCCTGACACTTCTTTTCTTCAGAGTCCATCTGCCATCCAGACTCCTATTCCTCGATTCTCCTTGTGGTTTTTCTCATTTTTCTGGTTCCCTCTGAGCTGCCTCTAACTAGGATTTGAGCAGGTGACAGAAGTGAATGGCTGGAAGATTTACTTATCGGGTCAGATCGAAGCACTTGGTGATGTGCTGAATAAGGGGCCAAGGAGGCACACCAAAGCTAGGTCTAAAGTTCTGATGGCAGGTGGAGAGACCTGATGGACAGTGAGTATCCAGATGGAGAGTGAGTGGCAACTGCCATCAGAGGAGATGCTAGAAAAGGCTCTGGGGAAAGCTCTTCAGTCCAGTTTGGGACTTGCTGGTTTGAGGTGCCTTTATTAGACACACATTGACATGCTAAGCAGACAGTAGATAGAGATGACAAAAGATGGCTTTCCTGCCTGTCCTGCAGCTTCGAACCCTCCAGAAGAGTGATGGGGAACCTATGGCACTCTTTATGTTTCATCCACATGGGTCACTGTTGATCCCTGGGTGGCCAAAATGGGTCTTAAGTTTGGGAAATTATTTGCCTGGCTGATGTACGATGCATTTAAAACATTTTGTCCATAATATACTATAAAGGAAACAAGACCTGATTTTCCTTCATGCACGTTTGTATTGACTCATCTAAAACTCTGAGTAGTCTCCATCTCTGACACGAGGGAGGAATACAGGTGCAGAGCGTGCCTCTAGGAGTAGCTTTCTTGGGCAGTTTTTGTGAGGGAGAAGGCTGAGTGTTAAGAACAAACAGCACTGGGAACCAGTTAGAGGCAGAGGAAGCAGCAAATGCAATGTCCCTGAATTAGGAATGAATTGGCCTCCAAAATGATCTGGATGCTGGGCATGGCAGCTCATGCCTGTGGTCCCAGCTACTTGGGAGGCTGAGGTGGGAGGATCCCTTGAGCCCAGCATAATAATCTTAAATCTAACAGTGAGAAAGTACATTGCAGCAGGTCAAGGCTGCAGTGAGCTGTGATTGTGCCACGACACTGCAGCCTGGGCTACAGAGTGAAGCGTGAGACACTGTCTCTAAATACATACATACATACATACAAACAAAATAACCTGGCAGCAGCAGCAGCACCTGCGAAAAAGGCTTAGGAGTTGAAGAAGTCAGTAAGGATAAAGTCAGTCATTTTAAGTGGTACCAAGAAGGTGTTAAATAATCTTAAATCTAACAGTGAGAAAGTACAATTCTCACTCCATCTTTCTAATTTTATTAAGGAGAAAAATCTCAGCTGG